AAACAATCAACGCATTAGAATGGGCGTTGAGTAGGAATAGAACCACAACTCGACGCATTATTGCCTGCAGCGCAAGTGTTCTAATTAGTTGCATGAAACATTCGTGTCTGGGCGATGAAAGGTAATGCCGGAATACCGCAATCGTCATACTAAGCTTTCCTAGAAACGCGATAGATATAATACATTTTTAATTCTTTCCATTTTTACTAAGTCACTCAATGCACAACAATCAATATTGCGAGAGCCAATTATTTCTATGACTGATGCGTGTACATGATGGAAAATATGAATAGAGATAGATTGACTTAGAGATGTATAGACATTAAATCAGATTTTGCCCTTATAGTGTGGAAAGGAAATTAAAAATATCAGCAAGCTACGATATGAATTTTATTTTAAAATCAATACTTTCACCATTTAAGGATTTCTAAAGAACATCTCTACCCTTTGATTGTTTTCGACAAAATGTTGTCGAAAATAAGTCGGCAAGTATGCTAGTTACAGAGTCGAATGATTCATGGATGGAGGAAATGCCCATATTATTGTCCACATTCTGTTGAGTCATGATCTGTATTCTCACGTTATTGGCCAAAGCAACATTTCTCCCCATAATTTGTGCGATACCGTCATCCATTGGACGTAATTCGTAAAAATACAAAAAGACCACAATATGATCATTTTCATCGTTGGGAAACTACACTGGTTTCTCACAAAATAATAGACAAAAGTTGGTCCATGTTCAATGGGTCAACCCGTTTCCTATACCTTTCTGTTGTTGTTGCGATGTACTTCGTTCATGAGGAGAAAATGGAAGTCGACGTTTTTGAATAAAACTTTCATTTAATTTAAATCGGGATGAATATGAACATTTTATTTAAGCAGGGGTGTTTGGACATCGTCCTTATTTCACACCATCTTCTCGATTGCATCTTCTCTCTAAATGTTTGTGTTTTTCTGTCTTTCCTACTTAAGGCGCATTCTGGGATGACCAAATGAACGAAGTGTCAGTACGGAGGTAGTAGTGCAAGGACAATCTGACGCGTTTATCTGGGGCCAAATCTTGATTTTTAGAGTTTCAAGCCCAACTCAAACCCAGCACATTTTGTCTTATAAATCCTGTTCTATCGAAGTCATTGGGATGTTTTGGCAAGCTCCGTTTGAGTTGTACACTCACAATATTGTTGTTCACCGATCTAAAGCGTTAGATTGAAGCGGTAAAATATTCAAACATTAAAGAAAAGCACCCTAAGTACAGCCAACTACTCAATTTTACACACAGAAACCCACATCTTACTAAAAATGTTTGTTTGTTTGAAAGATGAATATTTGCCTGTAAATACGAATATATTGTTCATCCAAACATGTCATGCCATATCATGTACCCCATTTACATTTTTTTGCAATGCTGTGTGAGCTGTTGTTGGTATACTGTAAGGATGATTTCTGGTTTATAATAATGGGTATATTGTTATAGAGACGCGTATTTTTCGTTAGTGGTGTTTATTTGTAAATATGGATTTCATAATATCCATCTGCTTGTAAGTTGGTGTGTGTCTCACACCCACCCCGATCAACCATACTCTGACTCCTTGAGTCATTATAAGCATCTTCTTCTTCTTCATTCTTTTTTCTGCCTCTATTGGCCGCTGGTGCCCATAAACTAGAATTTTAACCATTTTGTGCCTCGTTCATCCTATTGTGCCTACAGTGTCCCACTATCTTAATTTCTCTTTATAGATACTATATTAGCGTTTATTATAAAAATAACTATATCGATATCTATTTCATTCTTTTTTGTTAATTATGAATGATAAATGGGCGATAAAATACATTGGGATGTATAGGTTTACATTGAGAAAAATGACAGGAGGAAAGTATGAAGTTCTTATCTTGGTCATTTCCAAACATACCAAACTATTAATGTATTTTTTGGTATGTATGGTAGACGAAATTCATGTTTTTCGTGTGGCAAACTAATTAGTATTTATTAATTAAATTTTTCTGTAGTAATGCCAAAATAGATCACGTGACCTCGTTGAACATCACACAATGCTGGGTTCAAGAGTTTATAAACCAAGAATAGGAAATAGCGTCCTATCCGGAAAGTTTAAAAACCAAGCACATGTTCATGGACCGGGTCCAGAGATTGTATGAACCAATAACATATCACAACGACTGATCCAGAGATTTTATGAACATATAATGTATTATGTGAAGTTTTTCATTAGAAACATCCATACAAAAAGTAAACATAAATTGAATTTAAAAGGAAGCAAACTGGATTTTTAATATTCTCTCTAACGATAAGTAACTTTATGCTTTGACTATTTCTGCAAAACTGTCGTGGAAAGGCACTTTATAAATAAACTTTACTTACATATATTTCGAATGACCTACTATTATATCTTTGTTGCTTATGTGATTGGAATTTGTTTCGGAGACTTTTCTGATCGGTGCACATTTAAACGACACAAGAACAGCAACTTAGTCATTTATAATTTCCTTGTGACGATCGTTTAGGAACAATACGTTGAAAATAGTGAATTTATTTTGATAATTTTGCATGATAACTACATTTCAATTATGCCAGTGGTGAAATAGTGTATTCTTGGGCATTTGTAACTCGAACAGTTGATACCCTAACGAACTTACAGGCGGCGTAAAATTAATTGCTTTATCACAAGCCTCGTCGAAGTTACTGAAATGTGTGATGTGGCTCAACGTTTACAGTCGTTGCCATGATCTGTTCGAATGAGGCCCATTCAAAACAGTATGGAGTAATGCACTTCTCATTGATCTTTAAACATTTATATGAACATGATTAGTTAGGGGCATGCTGCCTAGGTATTTTAGAATATATTGCCATGATCTGACACACGCCCTTGCAGTGGATTAGGGCTGAATACAGCTTTCAACTTAATATTTATTTGTACATTATGCTTCACCATAAGTATCAGTAAGTACCTATGAAATGTTTATTCTATCATATTGACGAAGATTATTTATTCAGTGATAATCTAAATAGAGAAGTAAATGCGAAGTACACAAAGTTAACTGAATCATTACCATATATCCAAACAAGAGAGAGAGAGAGAGAGAGAGAGAGAGAGAGAGAGAGAGAGAGAGAGAGAGAGAGAGAGAGAGAGAGAGAGAGAGAGAGAGAGAGAGAGAGAGAGAGAGAGAGAGAGAGAGATGGTCTCTGGAGATCAGGAAATCTCATACATAAATGCACAAATGTCAGGCTTATGTTCAATGTGTGTATTTGTGTGTATGTGTGTGTATGTGTGTATGAGCGTGTGTGTGTGCGTGTGTGTATGTGTATGCGATTTTTCTGCTTTTGAGTGACAGTTATTGTAATCTATGATGTTCTTCGGACTTGAGCTTACCGCAAATTATTCTAGTAGACATGTCTAATCGATTATCTCGAACTTGGTAATTTTTCACAGACTTTATTTATTCACCTTTACTAAAATCTCCTACTTTTGGGTGCTGGCGAACGGTATCTTAGTAACATAGAAAATTTTGAGATAAATCGTTGGAAAGAGTCCAGTCCAGATCGTGTTGCCATGTCTGTCGCGTAGCTTGTTGTAGGTTTGAATTGAATAGGATGACATGCATTGTGTAATCTTTACTTTGCCTCTAGTAGAAAACTATTCCTGGAATATTGCGCGACTTTTTATGTATGCCATGAGCATTCCACGTAATAAGGATGATACAAGCCTTTCATTTATTATTCCAACGGTGTCTCAAAACGGTTTTTCATATCTGACCCGAACAATCAATTCCATTTACCGCTGATTATTTTTTTCTCGAATGGTTACAAGTACCTTTATTTTCCCAATTAATTATTATTGTCAAAGGGCATCTCTAAATGGATATATTTCGACTGTTTAATCACAGACTACAATATATTTCGTGGTGAAAATCGATTGTATTCACAACAGATTTAGCCTTTTTAAGGCTTCGACCTCCACTTTTCACCATTTAGCACAAAATTAAAACTGTTTTTGGACCGTTTCCCTTCTTCCAACAGACATTGTGGCTTTAGTGTATTTAATTAAATTTTGGTTGGCTTCATGTACTTTTAGAAATCTTTATTTAAACAACATTTATCTTGATTCAGTCTACTTCAATGATTCTTATCTGGTTCTTTTTTGCATCTGTATAATTCTTATAGCATTTCAAATATATACAGTTATGACATCGAATATAAAAAGCCCGATAATGAAAACCGTTCTTATTTGCCAGAAAATCAGGCTGAGAATTACACTGTTACTTTGTGCGAGAATTTTTTTAACAGTACCTGCTCATGTTTATAAATGTCTTCTAATAGAATTCGTAATTCAAAGTACTTTGGGCAATGTCAATACGTGTTATATAATATTACGACTTTAGACCGATTCTGAAACAAAGTAAATACTTGACCGTGAATTAACCATTGCGTTGTAGATAAATTCACGATTATTTCCTTTGAAACTATGTTTTGCAATTATCAGTGATGTCGCCGGTCGGCTTAGGCTTAAAGGCCGGGAACCCGACATTCTAACGTCTCAGTGGTACTACCCAAGACCGTTTTCAAAGATATCACCGGTATCCAATCAGAACAAAGAGAGTTGCATTTTAGGATATTTCTCAAGCAGCCAGACATTATTCTATTAAATCCATTGGGAATGGATCAGTGCACGTCTGGATATCGTCGAGACCAGACCCTGTGGAAGCTAGAGACAATAGACTGTGCTCAGAGTGTCATAGCTGCGCGCTCGTTAAAAGGGCAGGAAAGAGAGTTCTAGGAACTTGGGAGGAGATTGAAACAAAAGCTTCTGAGGAAGCTTACCGGGTGAGATCGAACGTTACCCAAAGGTTAGAGAAGAGAGAACATAGAGAGCACGTAGAGATAGACGATTGTGAGAGGAAGGAGGGCTAGAGACGGAAACAATGGTACCGTAGTTAAGAATGCTCATGGTAAGAACCAACATTAAGTAATAATATAACGTTCTTATGGCCGTTCCGGTGGCCTAGTGGTTAGAGAACCCGCCTCGGACGCGGAAGGTAGCGGGTTCACACCCCGTCCGAGTCA